AAAGCTATTTTTTCCCTGCATAGGTGTGTTGTGGACATGTGCTAAGTGGCAACCTGTATCTACTTAAACATTTGTCTAGGAAAGAAAGACTTTCAATGCCTACTATTGCGAACCTGATACAATATTCTGTCTTTATTTAAGATGGATTATTGTGCTTGGCTTCTGATTTTTCTCTTTTCATAATAGCTGGCACAAGATAGATATGTCCCATCTGCTAAATATGTCACAGTCAGAGGCGGCGTAAGGCGTGGGCGACGTGGGCCACCGCCTACGGCCTCACTGTCCGAGGGGCCTCGCGCTTCGAAGGTTTATGCATTTCATAAAAGTCGTAAACTCAACGAAAAAAATTTTACTCGTCATAAAACGATAAATATATTGACATACCAAATTTCTTTTATTTGTCTAGCAACATTTGCTGGGGTTGGATTGCTATCGCGGGGAATACTTGCCAGCCAGAGCTTGGGATTTCCCATTGTGTTTGTTTACGTTACTTTCACGATTCTCAACGGCTAGAAAGCCAATCAAAGTATCGCAGTAAAGTATCCCGTAAATAGTGGAGTTAAAACTCGAACATTAAATATTAATCCCAGGGCATTTTTTACACTTTGCGGTTGTCATAGCTAGAATCTGCTGTTGGTAGACGCAGCTAATTCTTCTGTGGCAGCAAAAACATTTTTTGGTTTTATTCAGAAAATTTATTTGCTATTTTCAAGTTCCAGCAAACGCTGGGAATTATTCAAAGGCAAATTAAAGCTTACTATGAAGCCTTTATCAGACACAAGGTGAGAAAGCAGAATCGAGGCAGTGAAGGCCGTATTATTGCAATTCGATGTTGAATGCATCGAAAGCTTAAAAAATCAAACGGAACAATCAGACACACTCAGTGATTGTGATTCGGTTTTAAACGAAATGCTCAATTTAGAATTTATCACATCATTACATGTATGGCATGAAATATTATCGCGTGTTAATATCATAAGCAAATTATGGCAATCTTTACAAGTCCATTTAAGCAATGCTATTGAACATGTGCGTACGTTTTGTGACTGGATCAAAGAATATCGACAAACTGGACTCGAAAAATGCTTGTCTGACGCTCGTCAATTTATTGAGAATAGCAGTTATGAACTGCCAAAAGACTTTAAAAACGAAAGGGTAGCCAAAAAGAAAAGGATGTTCGATGATGAAGGCAGCGATCAACCTATACAGTCTCCCAAAAGCAGGTATGAAACAGATTTTTTTTAACACCACGATTGGTTCTATGATAAGCAATATGGATTCGGGATTTATGTCTTTAAATCAACATTTTGAAAATTTTGGTTTTCTAAACTTAACTTTTCTATATGATCTAAGCAAGTTAAAAAATATTCCAAAAGAGCAAATATTAAAAAATTGTCAAGTTTTACACTCAGTCTTGCGAGTGAGTGAGAGCAGTGACTTACAACCTTACGAATTACAGTATATGAAGAATTACAAACAATGATCCCAAATTTACCCAACTTCATTAAAGATGTGAAACAGCTGCTCCAATACATAACAGAAAATAACTTGAAAGAAATTTACCCAAATATTTACATTGCCGTTCGAATTTTGTTAACAATACCGGTAAGTACTGCCTACGCTGAAAGGAGTTTTTCAAAATTAAAACTAATAAAAAATTATTTAAGAAATACAATTGGTCAGGAAAGACTTTCGGCTTTCGCAGTTTTATCTATTGAAGCATATATAGCATATAAGCTGAATTACGATACAATTATTAAGGAGTTCGGGTAAGGCTAAAAGCAGGAAATTTCTGTTTCTTTAATTTTTTTTTTAATGTTAGTTAAAGAATATAGTTTGCATTTTTAGGAATAAAAATTTGACGGTTTCAACTGCTTTTTATTTTATAAAATCAGTCTTCTTGCGCCACCAGAGGGCCTCGCGAAATGTACCTTGCCCAAGGTCTTGTACCTTGCCCACATCAAATTTAGGTCTTGCCCCGCCGCTGGTCACAGTTCTCCAAGCCTATCACTAGTTCGACTTCACGATATAGGCTTTATTAAAACCAAAATCAAAACTACTTTCCCAGGGCGGACACATAGTTTAAAACGTCGCCTGAAACTTTAATACCTGAACACTAACGTGTTATACCGACAGGAACGGTTAAATCGGTAATGGCCGAGGCGGTTAAAGTGTTAGTTTAGCGCTCTAGAGACTGGAAACGAATCAGAGCATATTGAAAAACTCCAGGAATTCTTCGGGGTTTGTCTGTTCCGAATATGTTAGACCCATTTTCTCCACCCCATTGTGGACTTGGCCAAACCCACAATGGACCTGAAAGCCTTCTTAATGCCCACAAAATAGAGAGTCAAAGAAACAGCAATGATTTTTTTTTTCCGATGGTGTTACTCTTTGCATGCGCGCAATATAAGTTACAAATTATTCGTAGAATAACGACTATAAAATTGAAAGAAATGAAAATATGACAATAAAATATTAATCTAGATCAGGGATGGCACACGTACCCAAAGTGGCATCTCGAAAAAATATCTGGCACGCAACAAATATTGCGATTTCGTGTACTTGTTACTGTATAAATAATTTTAGTGTTTTTTATATTGTAGTTGTATGCTCATCATCCTTTTCTCAATCAGCTTTCTTTTTTTTAATTTATGCTAATTAAAATATAATTTCTCTATTTCTTTAAAATAATTGTTCTAAGTCTAAAACTTCAGCACCAATAAATTATTTAAAAGATGATTATACCTACTATAAGGCACGTGGACTCAAAAAAGTTTGCCATCTCTGATTAAGATCATTCAACAAAAAAAAATTTTAAAGTAATTAATAAGTTTACAAAGAATCGTTTTAAGATCTAAAACATTAAAAATATTTAATAGTAAATAATATATCTATACTAATATTATAAAGACGTAATGTTTGTAAGTTTGGATGTAGCGGGTAATCTCCGAAACTACTCATCCGATTTAAAAAATTCTTTCACAATATTTAGAATGGAACTTCGGGGTGGAAATAGGCTGTATATTATTCCGGTAAACATTCATATAAATTAAAAGATATCATCTAGGTTAAGGCTTTTATGTCCAACAGATGGCGCTACGAGTACGACTCCCTAAGTTTGCTTTTCTGTGAGGCATTATGCTTTTCTGTGAGGATGAACTAAAGCAGATCATCTTCTATCTATCTATATAAATAAAAATGTAATGTTCGTTTGTTCCTGCCGATTTTTTTGAAATTTTGACACTACGTTGTATTCGAATACGCACGTGTTTTTATATAATGTACTGTACATGTCGAAATGTGGGGGAGATGGTTAGGATTAAGGCTTACCGTGAAGAACTTGGCTTCTACTATACTATTTTAGATGCGGTTTTTTGCGTTTTTGATTGCATTTTGATAGGGTACATCAAGAGAATGTACACTAAGAAAGGATTTTTCGAAAAATTCCCTCCATGGGGAAAGTGTTATACATTTATAATAGATACATTTTGAGCCACAACAACGCGTGGCGGGGTCTGCCAGTTTATTTATAAAATGTTATAAAGAGTAAATTATAAAAAAAAAATTACATAATAAATTGATAATTTCGTCCTTCAAATCTTTTTCTTATAAATTTTATATCTGTAGTAATTAATAACAAGATTATTATTTTATTTTTTATTTTATGATAAATTTTATATAAAACAGAAATAATATAATTCGTTATAAAGTTATAAAACAGTCCAATAAATATAATTTCTTTTACTTAATTATAAATAAGAAAATCAATAAAAATAAATTATTAAAAATTTATAATAAGTAATCTCATAAGTAAGTTATATCCGTTTATATATATATATATATATTTTTTTTTAATTGAAAATATAGTTTTGAATAATATTTAATTCCTTTTTTTATTAATAAATAACACTTTTTCTTGTCTATTTACTCACTGTGATCAGTAAGATTGCCATTTTTCCAGCCCATCGCGAGTTTGACCAGGCCCAGGCCCATAATAGAGAGGCTTGGTAGTGAGGGATGGGTCTGACATATTCCAGCTAGAACACCCATGAAAAATTTCTGGCCAAATTCCTGCCCAAAATCAATTTCGGTCCCCTACAATCGCAGCCTTTACCTCCTTGATCATCCAGCCGACAGAAACAATATACAGTACTAACTATTCAACGTGCACGTCTATATATATGCATAAAGAAAAAATATATAAATAGAAACATGAATTTTTAATTTATTACTTATGAAAATTTTATAACTCTTTAAAATAATTATAAATTGTTTTTGATTTACTAATCTTTTATACTTCCATAATTATTTTTTAAATTGATTATTATATTGATAACCAAATTTCTTTTATTTGTCTAGCAACATTTGCTGGGGTTGGATTGCTATCGCGGGGAATAATTATAGGTTCTGCTAGACCCACAATGGGGCGGCCAGTTAGTGCGAGGCGGAACCAGACATATACAGACGGACCACTCCCGAAAAATTTCTGGTTTTCCNGTGAGGGATGGGTCTGACATATTCCAGCTAGAACACCCATGAAAAATTTCTGGCCAAATTCCTGCCCAAAATCAATTTCGGTCCCCTACAATCGCAGCCTTTACCTCCTTGATCATCCAGCCGGCAGAAACAATATACTAACTATTCAACGTGCACGTCTATATATATGCATAAAGAAAAAATATATAAATAGAAACATGAATTTTTAATTTATTACTTATGAAAATTTTATAACTCTTTAAAATAATTATAAATTGTTTTTGATTTACTAATCTTTTATACTTCCATAATTATTTTTTAAATTGATTATTATATTGATATTGACACAAAAATCAACACTTTTTTATAGAAAGTATTATATTAGTCTATAGGGAAAAGTTAAAATATAACAACGGATCGATATAACAGTTTCTAATTTATATTTAAATGTATATCTTATTACTATTATATTTAATATTTTAAAAATTGGTAATATGATAATTAAATATTTATTTTAAATGCAAAACTATTGTAAATTATAAATTAAGAGGGCGCTATCTTTATTTTATGCCAACTTCTTTGAACACGTGGGTTTGATGCTGCACTGCTGTATTAAATTAAATAGTTAAAATCAATAATGTCGGATATTTCAGATAGTGAATTAAAGAAAAGCATAAATGGTAATCTAATACATAATATTTGTGTTAATAAAGCTGTAGATAATATATACATATATTAAAACATAAATTTTCTTTTTCAGAAATTCTGCAAGGTGCAGATTTGAATAGAACTTCAGCAAGAAAAGTCAGAAAACAGTTAGAAGAGAAATATCAGATGGATTTAACGAAAAAGTAACAATATTTTAATACTTACACGATGGAAAATGTTTAGGTTTAAGAAACTTGATATTTAGAATCCTTTGTTCACATAAGATTTTTTTAAAGTATTTTGTTTATTGATTTTGTAACTCTTCCCAAAGAAAATATGCTTAAAATTAAATAAATAAAGCAATTTAAACACAATAGTAATTAACTGTTTAAAATTTATATGTATAAAATAAATTTCTAAGTATATAAAAATTATTAGGAAAATTTTTTTTAAATGTTTAAATTCAAAGTTAATTTACTCCAAAATGCTAAAAATTATAATAATATAAATAATACAGTTAAATATTAATATCATTAATGTGTGATGAAATAACAATAATAATAATTTTTTTTGAATATTTTACTTAAATTTAAATATTTGATTTGCTTTTCGTAAATATTTGTTTATAAATTTAAATTTCATTATTTTGCATTTAAAAACAAATTAAAATAAAATATGAGATTTTATTTACCTTATTTAGAAGCATATTTATAAATGTCAAATCTTGATTAAAAATTATCATTAGATAAACAGAAAAACTACTTTTTTACCTTAATTATTAGTTCTGTTATATATATATTGGTTTTTGATTTAGGTTTTCATTTAGAAAATAAATATATATCTATAGTCTGTAAAATTTATGATTGTAGGAGTTTATTACATTTGGTTTGAGAGTAATTGCATTATCTTGCAAAAGATATATTCTTTAGAATTAAATTTGAAAATTGTATTGTTTGGAAGCAGCAGCAGCAGAACAAAAGTAATTATTTGTAAATAGTAATGATGTTTTTATTAAAAACATATTTTAAAAATAAAATTTTATTTATTTGTATATTGACATTTTATGTTGATAAGTAAATGGATACAGATATAAAGTTTTCTTTGCTTATGATAGTAAAAGTGAAATAACATTTTAGTTTTTTTTTAATTTTAGGTAACTATAGTTTTATATTATTCACTTTTTTATTATCTGTATCCATTTCTTTAATTATATTATTTGTGTATATACTAAGCAGTGCATGGAGTAAATGAATGTATAATACATTCTATTATTTTCCATATATTAAAAATATATATCAATAAAATGAAAACAAAATCTATAAGATCCAACAGAGTATTATATCTTTTGCTGAATCTTTAAGGTTTTATTTTTAAGTTTTTAATTATCTAGATTTTAATTTCTCTGTCTATGTATATGTATATAAATTTATAGAATGAGTAGTATATCTTATACTTTGCTTAATATCATTCTGTTCTGCATGTATACTCAGTTTTTGTAATAGCCAGTTTGGGAATAATTCTAATTATTCCCAAACTTGCTATTATAAGAATTGAAGTAAAAAGCAATATTTACTGGCAAAGTATATATAGTATATGATGAAAAAACAAGTGATCAAAAAATATTTGTTTTTCTGTTAAATAGTTTGCTGGTAAACAACAGTTTTTGCTTTTTCTTACATAAAATTTAATAAAAAAAATATATTATATAACATGATTAATTTAGTTTTGAAAAAAAATACTATTTACAATGAAAATATTATTTTAAGATTAATGCTGTTGTATAGAAAACAAAGAATTTTATTCTGAAATTAGAATTATGAATGTCTTTTGTCAGTAAATTCCATTAAACCAAAATTTAAAGATTTTCTATTAATTTAATATCTTTGAAAGTAGCTCCATAAACAAGAGGTATTAGTTTTTCACTTTTAAGTAAAAATGACACTACTACTGTTTATGTTATATGGTATTTTTATGATCTTATGATCTTTTATGATCTTATATTTGTATACTGATGTAACCCAACTGATTTTCAAAATTTTAAAAATGATAATGTTCCATATGATTATAACTATGGCAAGATGTCTATTCAGTCCCAATAGATGGCTAACATTTTACAACAAAGCTTGTATACATAGATCCCACTGGACATAATCTACAACAAAGTATAAATATACAATCAACAAGAACTTCTGTAACACTGCATTGGTGTCATATTCACATTAGGATGTATAGATAAATTAAGAAAAACAAAATCATCAGGCCTACCTCTAAAGTACACTCTTTCTCATCTAGAGAAGTTTGAAATTTATAAAGTACATACAAAATCCACATACATTAATTATTACAATGCAGATACCTTTTCTAATGCTTGGCTGTCAATTTTTTGAGATTTAATTGTGTGCTCCTTTATTAATTGTTATTTTATTATATGTATTATATTTTTAATTTTATTTATATACTTATTGTTTTTTATGTTGTTTTAAATTTCTTGTTCTTATTTTAATTTAAATTACATTTTATTTTTAAATTGTGTTCTTTTTATTTGATGATACTGTTAACTGAAGAAGAATAGTCAAACTGATTGAAAATGTTCTTAATTTTAATAAATACATTGCTAGGATTACAAAGGCATGGTTTTTTTTCTTGGTCAATACTTTTCCTAGTTACATATTACCATTATGGATATAAACCTGGCTATGCTGACTAGGTAATATAGAAAACTGATCCTTAAACTATGTAAAACAAGAGCTAAATCAGAATTTCATGATCAGTGCACCTTAATGAGGTATTTCTGATATCAATTTATTACATTCATTTACTAGTAGACTGTGACTCATTACTTCCATATTTGTGAGACCTCAGAAAAGTGATCAGTAATGTACAATGATGTATATATACTCTTTGCATAGGCTGTCACCATGGGAATACACAACACAACATGTTGTGGTTATATTCTAAGATGATAACACTATACAAGAAAATAGCTTGTCTAAAAGAGACTAAATCAACTTTCATGTGCAATTCTACATCTTTAACATCCTCTGGAATGGAAAAGGTAACATTAATGTGCTTANATAGGCTGTCACCATGGGAATACACAACACAACATGTTGTGGTTATATTCTAAGATGATAACACTATACAAGAAAATAGCTTGTCTAAAAGAGACTAAATCAACTTTCATGTGCAATTCTACATCTTTAACATCCTCTGGAATGAAAAAGGTAACATTAATGTGCTTAGTGAAGTGAGGGGTATATAAAATTCCTCTGAAGGAGGACTGATTTGGTTGCAATTTTGAATACTTTATTCATCTACAGTCTTTCAAAATAAGACTGTCAGATCACAAACTTGATATCAATAAAAAGAAATTCAGCACTGTCCTAGCTGTGTACACAACTGATAATGACATGCATGCCCTCCTTGACAGAGCTTTCATCATCAAATGATCAAAACATTTTGACTTCATCAAGATACTTGAAGCCTTTGGAGATTTTTAAATCTGAGAAAAAGGGCCATTGCATTAATTTTAAAGATGAGCAACAACTATCTTGCGTGTGGCAATCCCTATGTGACCAACTATGACAGCAGTTCTTAACCTGAGGTGCAAGAGAAATTTCAAAAATTAAAAAAAATAAAATAAATAAATACGAATGAGGCGACTGTTCTCTACAAACTGTGGTACCCAGCAACCCAGTGGCATCCTTACTTCATTTCTGCCATCTCACTTCTACACACACTACTCTACGTCTCTCAGCACATAGCGCTTGTCATCAGTCATCAGTACATGCAGTTAATAGCGAGGTTGAGGCCAATGTTTTAAACGTGAAAACGTGTATGTCGGACATTCAGCGCCACTTTCCTGTAAGCCTAGAAGTTTGACAATGGTGTTTGGAATGTCAAGCATGATTCCACTGACTATCCAAACACCATTGTCAAACTTCTAGGCTTACAGGAAAGCGGTGCTGAATGTCCGATGTACACATATTTGTGTTTAAAACTTCAGCCTCAACCTCGCTAATGTAGTCACATTGTTATGTGCAGTACAGAAACTAGTTGAGATGTGTTTGCACATCTTGAATACAGCACTTTTGCACATCAAAACAAAAGCCAGAAATCGCTTAAATGCATATGACGACTTACGCATGGCTCTTTCAAAAAAGATCTTTGTTTTAATAGAATTATTATGAATAAACAACAACAACCTAGCCATTAAAATTTAAATATTGCTTTTTATGTTATATATATTGTAAATAAATATGGCATTTTTTTATGTATTCAAAAGTTATTTCATAAATAAAAAATATACAAACATTTTTAAGGGGGTGCAAGAGCTTATTTTCAGATTCAAGGGGTGCTGACCACTAAAAAGGTTAAGAATCACTGAACTATGATATATCAGGAGGTAATGATATTATAACTGAATGTTCTCATGTATTATATATTTATACAATTTGATTTTCTTACTTTTTAGTTTTGTTTTATTTTTAATCAATCTTGTACCTTGCTGTATTTTATTTTTTTATGTATTCGAAAGTTATTTCATTTAATTCTTCAATAAAGCCATTGTTTCATTCATACATTCCATCATCAAATATACAGACTTGAAGATCTCCATTGCAGATTCAAAATGTTAGTTTAAAAGGGTTTTGTTTCACATTAAACCTCACTAGAATTAATTAATGCTCTGTGATAGATATGTTTGTTGGTGATTATGTTTGCTGGGTAAACACTGCATAAGACTGATTCTGCATTTTGTGCTTACCAGGCTTTCATCAATACTAATCTTCTGTTGAGGTATGTAATGATGTCTAAAGATCCTGTTTGCATGGTCTACAAGTGGTTTATATTTTGCACTTGGATCATATCCTGGTTCAATGAGGCCTGACATTCATTTGTTATTCACAAGATTAAAAAAGTGCAGCAAATGGGCAAAACAGTGCTTCAAAAACATTTCTCCAAACCAAAAGACTTAAGAATAGAGACTGCTTCAGTAGGATGCTATTGTTGGCTTACTGATGAGGCCCATATATAGAATTCATGCCAGGAATTCTTTCATTTCAGATACTGTAAACTTTTTCCATTTCTTCAAAGAACATAGAAGTGTAGTTTCCTTGTTGGATATGTGATCTGCTTCACATATCTATTGGACTCTGTTAACATGACAGTTAGAAAGAATTCTGTAAAAAAAAAAAATAGCTTG